AGATCAATATGGCTACTGGTATCACGTAACCCAGTACCACCTGCCACAAGCCCTGCTGCCTTGCAGAGTCTGCTCTTCTTATGCAAAGGCTAGGAGAAATAAATTCCGACTAAAAATTCCCCTGCCTTGGGGCTCTTGGTTGAGTAAAGGCTAAAGATGGTGTCTCGATAAAAATACTCATCTTGGGCAGATGTTAACTGCATCCTGCTACTGTCTTGTAGAAGGCCTCCTAGGCAAAGACTTTAGGGGTAAACAGAAAAATTCTGCTAACCAGCCTCGAACCCCTTCTTCATCTATTAGGCTGGCGTAGATGTAACCTGTGTTACATTGTTTCCTGCCTAGGATGATGAATGCTGGATCTCCTTGACTCTACTCATAGAATTTTGCTTATGCCTTTCTGATAATGGCTATACACCTCTTCCTGTTATCTCCATATGAGGGTACAGCTCTAAAACTCAGTTTAATGGTTCTGAGGCCGGCTGGTAGTAAGGTTTCCCAAACTCTGTGGTAGCTCTCAGAGAGGCTGATTCCATCAACAGCTGCAAAATATCAGAGTATTAACAGTGCCATGTTGCGCATGGATGGTGTCCCTGTTAATGCTTTTGGTGTGCATTGTCAAGGCCACATAAGGAGCCCTATGCCACGGCTTAGGGTTAATTAACAGGACTGAGACAACTGCATAGCTCATTGATTAGGAGGCTGTGCTCTATCTATAAATGAGTCTAGTTCTCATTAAACCCAAATCATGACCAAAGTAACCAAAAATTTAAAACCTAAAAAACCATCCCCACCACCTAAATATTTTAATATATTTTTTACAAATATTCGCGGTCTACGAAGCAACTTTCCATCAGTTGAGTCTTACCTCCTGCAAAATTCACCAGACTTGCTTGCACTCAGTGAAACAAATTTAAGTTCTGCAATTCCTTCTTCAGATGTCAGTGTTGATGGGTACTATCCTTTGATTCGTAAAGACTCCAATAGTCACTGCTAGGTTTAGGGGTATACATACGCATTAATTCCCCTATTTGTCGTGAAATCAGGTTCGAATCCTTTGACCATTCTTTTATGTGCTTTCGCCTAGCACCTCTTCACTCTATCACCTTTCTCTTTGTTCTTTATTGTTCTCCTTCTTCCCATGATTGCACTCTTTTAGATGTTATCTCTGATCAAATTGACCATGCCCTCTCTTTTTACCCCTCTGCCAATATTGTTGTTGTTGGTGATTTTAATGCCCATCACACTGAATGGCTTGGCTCTAACACCACTGATCCTGCTGGCACTAAAGCCTTTAACTTCTGCGTTTCTCAATCTCTTACTCAGATAGTTAACTTTGTGACTCGTTTTCCTGACAACCCTAATCATTTATCTTCACTCCTTGACTTATGTCTTATCTCTAACCCTAGCTTATGTTCAGTTTCTCCCTTTTCTCCCTTAGGTGGTTCTGACCATGCAATGATCTCTATAAATCTATCTTCTCGTACTTCTTTTTTGGGCTCACCTTATCATTGCACCACCTACTACTACCCTAAAGCTGACTGGGATTCCTTTCGTGATTTTCTTCGTGATGGTCCTTGGGCTGATGTTTTTTCTCTCTCAGCTGACAAATGCGCCTCCTACGTAACCTCCTGGATTCAGGCTGGAATGGAAGCTTTTATTCCTTCGCGTCGGTTTCAAGTCAACCTCATTCTACTCCATGGTTTTCTCCTTCTTGTGCGGCTGCTATATCCAATCGTAATCATTTTTTTCATCTTTTTCAAAAGAACAACTCTCTTGAGAACAAACAGCTATTTATTATTGCAAGAAATCGATGTAAAAAGGTGCTTTCTGATGCTAAACTCCATTATTCTCAGTTCACTAAATCTCGCATCTTATCGCAGAAGTTAGGCTCTAAAGACTTTTGGAAAATCTTCAACAGCATTGTTAACAAGGGTAGATCTAACATTCCATCTCTCATTCATGGGACTGATTTTATTACCTCTCCCAAGGATAAGGTAGAACTATTTGCAAAGAAATTTTCTTCTAATTCCACTCTTGAATCTTATGGACATTCTCTTCCTTCCATTCCAGTCAAACAGGTTGACCCATTGTTAGACATTCAAATCACTTCGGCTTCTGTTGCTAAAGTCATATCTCAATTAAACTCGTCTACAGCTTGTGGTCCAGACAACGTTCCTGTCACAGTCTTGCAGAATTGTTCTCCAGAACTTTCTTCAATTCTATCTAAACTATTCAACAAGTGTTTTACTGAGTCTTGTTTTCCTGATTGTTGGAAAATGGCATCTGTGGTTCCAATATAAAACTCTGGAGAAAATTCTGACCCCTCCAATTATCGTCCGATCAGTCCTCTTTCTGTTATTAGCAAGGTCTTTGAGTCTTTGATCAACAAATTCCTCACATCTCATCTTGAGTCAAATAAACTACTGTCAGACAATCAATACGGTTTTTGATCCTCTCGCTCTACGGTCGACTTGCTAACTGCTGTAACTGAAAGATTTTATCGTGCATTAGATGGAGGCGGTGAGGCTAGGGCTATTGCTCTCGACATATTTAAAGCTTTCGACAAAGTTTGGCATGCTGGTCTTCTCCATAAGCTTGCTTCATATGGTGTTTCTGGGAAAGTTTTTGAGATTATCAAATCATTTCTTTCTAACCGGTTTATTAAAGTCATTCTTGAAGGCCAACACTCTTCTTTATTTCCAGTAACTTCTGGGGTTCCCCAAGGTTCCATCCTGGGCCCTGTTTTGTTTTTTATCTACATAAACGATCTTCCTAACAACCTTTCATCTAAAGTAGCTCTATTTGCTGATGACTCAACTTTATACTCCTGTCTTGACAAAAAGTCTTCTCTTTTCGATCGCCTAGAACAAGCAGCTGATCTTGAATCTGATCTCACTTCAGTAATAGATTGGGGTTCACAGTGGCTTGTGAATTTCAACTCTAAAAAAAACCCAATTGCTTACTGCAAACAACTACCGTAATATGGTCAACATTCCAATATTAATGAATGGCAATCCTCTTACTGAGTCCTCCTCTTTACGTCTTCTTGGATTATCGCTTACTACTGACCTTTCTTGGAAACTATATATACAATCAATTGCTAAATTAGCTTCTGCTAGGGTTGCTTCTCTTTATCGTGCTCGCAATTTCCTTATATCTGATTCCATTCTCTACCTCTACAAATCTCTTATTCGTCCCTGTATGGAATACTGTTGTCATATTTGGGCTGGTTCTTCTAACGATTCACTTTCTCTTCTTGACAAGGTCCAAAAACGCATTGTAAATGTTGTTGGACCTGGACTATCTGCTAAGCTTGAACCTCTTTCCCATCGTCGTAAAGTTGCATTTCTTTCTCTTTTCTACAGATACTATCATGGTCACTGCTCAAAGGAGTTATCATCTCTAGTTCCATCAACTAAAATTCATTCTCGTTTTACTCATCATTCAGCTAAGTCTCATTCGTTTACTGTATCTGTCCCTGCATGCTCTAAAAACTTTTATTCATTTAGTTTTTTCCCCGCACTTCAATCCTTTGGAACTCTCTCCCATCTTCATGTTTTCCTGACTCATACAACCTTCAACTTTTCAAGTCTTCTGTCAACCGTTTCCTTGCTCTATAATTCTATTCTTTTTTTTCTTAGTAACTCCCAACTTAATAGTGGTTGCTTGCAGCCTTGTTGGGAGTGAATGCAAATTAAAAAAAAAAAAACTAACATCGAACAATGCTAAAATGTGTTCCTAATTTTACATGTCTTAAAAACGAAACGAACTATCCTACCACAGCAAACAGTTTAGGAGTCTGGAGTCATAGCATGTCATGAGATGAGCAAGAAGCTGACAGGTGACAGCACACAGGTAGAATTTCGTTGACAAGTGCCATTTTGCAGCGGACAAAACAAGTGCAACTTTTTTGGTTTGTTTCATTTTCTTAAGTCTGGTCCGTGTCAACGTCACGGAAGTTTTTTATTGCATCAATACAGTCCACATTCAGGTGACAGCACGCAGGTAGAATTTCGTTGGCAAGTGCCATTTTGCAGTGGACAAAACAAGTGCAACTTTTTTGGTTTGTTTCATTTTCTTTTCAACCAAGACGTTGTGTTCCACAGAGAATTATTGTATCATCACAAGATAAATGTAACACGGTAAGCCTTGAGAAGCGTGATTATTTATTTTTATTATTTTTATGACTTTAAGTGCAAAAATGGCTCCCGACAGTCTTGGATTGGAACTAAGAAAGAAAATTATTGGCGATTACGTAAGTGGAATGTCACAAAAAAGTATTTGTGATAAATATCGCGTAAAAAAATGTACCGTATCAAGACTATGTTCCAAATATCGTTCTACGGGGAAGTTAACAGCAGATAACAAAGGTGGAAGACCGCGTTCCACCACTTCTAGAGAGGATTCTATGATATTCAGATCCGTCAAGAAGGATCCCTGGATATCATCAGTCGTGATACAAAAGCAATTAGAGCTGCCTGTATCGGACCGAACAATCAGACGACGTGCTGTTGAAGCCTGATTGTTTTCTCGACGCTCTGCAAAGAAACCGCTGATTTCACTAAAGAACTAGAAGAAAAGACTCCTATTTTCTACATCTCATATTGACTGGAATGTGCAGAAATGGCGAACTGTTCTGTTTAGTGATGAATCGAAGCTCAACATTATTGGAAGCGATGGCATTTGCTGTGTACGTCAATATATATATATATATATATATATATATATATATATATATATATATATATATATATATATATATATATATATATATATATATATATATATATATATATATATATAAAAATTTTAATATAAATCACAATATTTTTTATTCTTGACATCTTTCGTAGTCTTACTACATTTTCAAAAGATTTAATTTACGAATAAAACTCTGGTAATTATCATTAATTGTAAAATACTAACTATTTATGATTGCTTTCAGATTTTGGATACTGCCTGTACCATTAACAAATTAAAAATAAAAGAAGCACTTCATATTAAATGGAAAAATCCTTCTTTAAATAAACAAACATCTCATTATATTATAAATTTATCTATCTAAATTACTATATTATTATTATTAATATTTTAATATTAGGAAGCTTATTTTGTTATAATTTATAATATAACTTTTAATTGGTTTGTAACAAGTTTATTTTTCCGTTAATTTTTTGTCTGTATTGTCTTCAGTTTTTAAATTTATTTACCAGAATTTTAATTGTAAATTAAATCTTTTGAAAATGTAGTAAGACTACGAAACATGTCAAGAATAAAAAAAAAATGTGATTTTTATTAAAATTTTTACAATTTTATTGCTACTGCGATGTTCGAAAAATATATTTCACTATTTAGCAAACGCTTTTCAAGGAATTTTAACTGTGCAGATTTTACGAAAACTGGAAAAGCTTTTTATCAAAAGTAACAAAGCCCGTTTGGACATAAACTTTCTTAAAAACTGCAAGCTATTTAAAGTATACCCAAAGTATTTAGGTTTTAACAAACCTCATGCAAACCACAATGATATAATGTCGATAAAAAGGTTACTCAAAGGTGCGTAACATAAAAGATCAAACGAACAAAAATTATTGCAAAAAGAATTAGATAAAATAAAGTGCATAGTAAGAAATAATTGTTCAACCTTACAATGGTATTTTTTAATAAAGGTTATTAAAAATAATGTAAAGAAAAAAGAAAAATCAATTATAAAAACCCACGAGAAAAAATTATGTTCACTTACTAAATTTACTAGCATTCCTTATAAAAATAAAAAACTTCGTACAAAATATGTCTTCATACACTTTACTACACCATGAACTGGATTTATTAAATAATGGTCTTAACTTTGCCTTACCACCAGCGTTTATAAAAAAGACGGACGATTTTGCTCAATTTGATAGCGTTGCACAATTTCTCAACACCCAACTTAGAAACAAGGATTTAGAACCTCAAGTTAAAAGTGAACTTTCACACTTAGCAAATAATGTTTACAAATACACGCCGTCTGAAGGTTGTCTGAGAAAACACAAAATAATAAAAAGACTCAGGAAGAATGAAAACATCGTAATAACAAGACCAGACAAAGGGAATTGTATAATTGTTCTAAATAAAGTTGACTGTATAAATTCTCTTAATAATATTATAAGTGATAAGACTAAATTTAAAGAATTAAAAGATGATCGAACTATAAAAAGAGAAGTATCTTTACAAGGGTATCTTAGAAAACTTAAAAAACTTAAATGTTTTGAAAAAGACATTTACAATAAAATTTATCCTGTTGGTTCACAAACAGCAAGAATTTATGCTCTACCTAAGATGCACAAACTTAGTAAAGGTTCTTCTCTACCATCTTTTCGACCAATTATTTCAACAATTGGCACATATAATTATAAACTTGCTAAACATCTTTCAGATTTATTATCTCCATATATACCAAAACATTATACCACTTTTGACTCATTTTCATTCGTTGAAGATTTAAAACAAGTTGACGTAACTAACAAATTTATATTTTCTTATGATGTTGAAAGCTTATTTACTAACATTCCACTTAATGAAACTATAAATATAGCAACAGAATTATTTTTTAAAGATGAAACTATATACTATGATGATGGTACTATAAAAGCAAAACTAAATGTTTACAAGATATATTTTGTTATTACAACTAAATGTTATTATATTTTGGTTTGTATAAATGGTTGTATTAATGTTTGGTTATTATACTTTGGTTTGTATAAATGTTATGCTGATATCATAGCAGCATAACTTTTATGCAAAAGAAATGCAAAAGATGCTTATTTAATATAAAAATACGGTTGGTAATAAAGTTAGATATATCTAACTTTATAAAAAACATTCATTTTTTACGTAAAAAAATGAGTTTTTTTTATAAGGTTAGATATATCTAACTTTGACAAACACTTTTTTATTTATTATAATATATAAAAGAAATCTCAAGAACTACAATTTCATCGACTAAATAAAGAATTTTGATTTAATCATATATATATATATATATATATATATATATATATATATATATATATATATATATATATATATATATATATATATATATATATATATATATATATATATATATATATATATATATATATATATATATATATATTATTTTTATTTTATTTATTTATTTAGCAACTTAATGCTAGTTTAGTAACTTATACAAAATAAATAATCCACTTTACAAAATAAATGTTTACTATATAAGTTGGTTATTCTTTAGTGTTTGAAGCAGTTTTTTTTTGAATTTTTTGTAGTCCAGCTGAACAAATCCACCAGCTATTTCCTGGTATAGTTTCAAACCAAACACAAACTTTTATAAAAATAACTAGCTTGTCTAGTTTAATGTTGATGTAACTCGCTATTTTTTGAATAGAACGGTTTAAATATATATCATTTACAGTCGATGTAACATTATGATTGAAACAGAGTAATTTAAAAATTATTCTGTTTTTTACATTGATCCAACCACGCAAATTCAACATTTCTGTTTTATGAGTTAACCAGTGACATTTTAATATAATTCTCATTGCTTTGTTTTGAAGTTTTTTTAGGATATTTAAGTTATTTGTGTTGACATCAAGAAAAATAGAAGCACAGTATTCATAGGAGAGCAATTATAGTTTGAAAGATTATCTTTTTGGTCCAATGAGTTAATATTTGCTTATTCTACCAAGATATCCAGTTTTCTTTGCAATTTTATTAGAGATATATTTGATATGTTCAGTAAAATTAAGTTGGTAATCAATAAAAAATCCCTAGATATTTCACGCTATCACTAAATTCAATGACCACATCATCCAATATCACTTTTATGTTATTGTTATGATTTATTAAACTATTTTTTCTTTTTTTTGAATTAACAATAAGCATTGCCATGGACTTAAGAGCATTTAATTTAAGTTTGTTATTACTTAACCATTTACAAAGTATTTTTAAGTCTTGATTTAATTTAAAAATAGTTTCTTCGATGTTTGTGCCCTCAATACAAACCAATGTATCATCAGCAAACAAATTTACAAAAGAATACTCAATTTTTGCTGCAATATCGTTCATGTAAATGATAAACAAAAGAGGTCCAAGTACACTATCCTGTGGAACCCCTATATCACAAACTAGTTCGCCAGATTCTTCACCTTTTATTTTGACTACTTGAGTTCTCATCGAAAGATAGTCTGCAATCCAATTGGGAACTGTATCTTTAACTTTATAACTTTGTTTTGTATAAGAATCTTTCTATTAACTGTTTTGAATGCCCTTTTAAGATCTAGCATTACTGTTACAACAAATTTATTGTTGTTCAAAGATGTTCTCCGTTTAGAAAGTAGTAGTTAAATAGCTGATTCAGTTGATCTATTTTTTCTGAAACCAAATCGATTATTATAAAAAATATTATTACTTTCAAAATAACTTGACAACTGCTTGTGAACAGCAATTTCTAATATTTTTTCATAAGTAGGAAGCATATTAAGTGGTCCTAAGTCTTGTGGTAACTTTGGCGATATTAGCTTTGGAATTGGAATGACTGTTGACTTTTTCCATTTAGAAGGAACTTTCCCATTTTTTAACGATAAATTAATAAATTTTAATAGAATACTTGAAAATGATGAGTATAATTCTTTGAATATAATAACATTTAAACCCTCACACATAGAATTCTTGTTTTGTAATTGATTTACTATATCATTTAAGTCTTGCATAGTTAAAGGAGTAAATTCACAAAAACAAGGAATATTATCATTTAGTGATAAATTTTCCATAGCATTATAACTCATCACTTTGAATTGATGTTTCAATATCTATGATACTTTGGATTAAAAATTCATTATATTTATCTGGAATGGATTTTTTTGTGTCATCTCTTTAAAAACTTCTAATAACATTTTCTTCATCAAATTTAATATCATCCATTATATTTGATTTAATTAATGGTTTGGCAGATGTTTTTGATGTTGATATTTCAACGAATTCCACATAGCTTTAGGATCATTTTTGGCTGAATCAGTTTTTATTTTAGAGTAATCAGCTTTTAGTTTTCTTAATAGTGATGTTTTTTTATTTCTTATTTTTTTAAATATGTTATATTGTATTTTACATTTGCTTTCACTAAAACCATGGTATTTAAACCAAACAAATGTTTTCCATTCTTGATTATATTCTTTTAATATATCGGTGTATTTAGAATTCCTTAACCAGTTATTGAGAATAGATGGATTGTTGTTGTTTATTTCCTTATTCGTTTTATAAAACTTTTCTTGCATATTTATGTTATTTTTAATAATTGTTGTATAACTATTAGCCATTACTTCAATATCAATTTCTTTTTTTATATTTTTTAATTCAACTGAAATGTTTTTATTTAATAAAGAATAATCAATTTTATGGAAGTTCTGTTTACTACTGTTGACAACACTATTGTTTGCTTTTTTAGTTTTGAATCGTCTTTTTTCTTTGATAGAGTATTTACAAGTTATTTTTCATTAGTTTCAATAAGAGTGATGCGGTAGTGGTGTAGTGCACTACAGACGTTTAAGAAGCGAGCGCTCTACCACTAGTGGTAGAGCGCTCGCTTCTTAAACGAGTGGTTCCGAGTTCGATCTCCACCACGTCCCTGGTAGTACCGCGCTCAACTCGTTTCTCCGCGCAGCGGCCTTGTTCGTCAAGGTTCGTGTTTCGGAGTTATAGAGTTGAGAGAGGATGATAGCCACATAATAAGTAGCCTCCTCGTCTGTAGCGGCCTTCTCGGCCTTGAGGAGGTGAAGTAAAATAAAAAAAAAAAAAAAGAGTACAATTTGAAATTGCTAAGTCAATACAAGTACTTGATTTTTTAGATATTTTTGTTGGTGTACTGTTGAAAATATACATTTGATAATTTTTGATAGATTGCTTTAGTGCTATAGAGTGTTTGTCATTTGAAAGTGTATTTATGTTAAAATCACCAAGAATGATAATATTTTTTGAACAAATTGTAGTAATCCAAGTATCGAAAAACTCCAAGAAGATGGTTTTGTTCTCCTGTGGAGATTTATACAAAACACTAAAATGAAACTTAATTTTGTTAATGACTAGTTCAGTAGATAATAATCAATGACACTTGTCCTTGACGATAGATTTAGGATCAGAATTTACTTTTATGTCATCTTTATAATATAATATACAACCACCGGTATGAGCACTTGATGATTCTAAATTTATAAAAGAATAACCAAAAATTTCAAGCTCTTTTTCAAAGATTAAGGATGTTATGTGGGTTTCAGTTAATCCAAGTATATGAGGTTTAAATTTTTGTACATATAGTGTAACTCTGTCAAGTTTATTTATGAGACCATTTATATTTGTATATGCAATTGTAATGTCTTTTACTACTATTGGTTGCTAGTTGTGTTTTTAATGTCATTATATACTAGACATTTTTTATCGAATGCACAATATTGAGGGTTTATCATTAAATTGAATTTTTTGTTTTTGTTAAGGCAATTAACACACCAATTACTTTCGTGATTTTGACAATCTTTACTGTAATAATCACCTGAACAGTAGCAACATGAAGGAGTATTAAAGTGACAATTTTTTGCTATATGATTGTAGCCTTGACAATGGTAACATTGAATAATATTTATATGTTTTTGAATTTGCACAGACTCCCAGCCAATTGCTAATCTACCATTTTTCTTATTTATAATGTATTCATATGTGTTTATATCTATATCAGCTATAACCAGTTCATATTTATTCTTTGTCATGTTAATTCTTTTCACAACTATGATTTTAGCCTTATTATTCAAATTATTTAGAGCTATTATATCATTTGCCAATATCTGATTGAATACCTCATTGTGTTTGGTAATCTTAAATTCAATCCTTTTCATTTTTTCAGTGTTACCTTTTTCAACTGAGATATTTACACCTAATTTTCCTTTAATTTCCTGATAGAGTTTGTCTTTTGATTTTTCGTCATTGCACCTTATGGTTACTTCATTATTTTAATTTCGGATATGTTGAATTTCTACTCCTAATTCTTTTGGTTTGATATTGTCCATAATCAACTTCTTTGTGTTAATTTTATCATGATTGTTAATTTTTTTGACAACAATTTCACTAAATGTTCTTTCAGATATACTATTTACATTGCTTGATATTATTGGGATTTGTTTTATTTTTATTTTATCTTGCAACTCTTTCTTTATTAACTCATTTTCAATTTTTAGTTCTGTGATCTCTTTATTTAATATTTTGTTATCAGTATATAATTCTTTTATAAATGTATATTTCACCTTTTTATTGTTTTTATTCATTTTAACAAGTTTTTTTTTTCACATTTAAAACAAAACCATATAACTCTGGATTTTTTTTAGTTTCGTTATTGCATTAAAGTCATCATTAGTGAGTTTACTACATTTAAGATGACACCATTCTTTACATACTCCACATTCAACACTTTTTCCATGAATACTAATTTCACATTCAATGCAATTAAAGACAGGTTTTTAAGTTTGATATTGAATGATCACTATCTTCATCTAATTTATCAGCATTATGTGGGCTTAAGTGTTTTTTTGTTTTGTCATTTTTACCTTTTATTCGTACAAAATGAAAGATTTGTATAATTACAGTTACAAGATAATAAGTCAATCTTAATGAATTATTCATGCAGCTATAGATATAACTTGATGTTCATACAATGATGTTCAACAAATATTTAAACTTAGTTTGAATCACCATTTTACAAGCACGACCAGCTCCCATTATTATTTACGGCCAAAAAATATATATATATATTGTTTTGTTTTTTTAAAAGGTCTCTGGTTTGAATTAGTCTTGTACTATTTACATTGTCTCTTCACAAAAATATTATTGTAATATTTATACTATATTCAATATATTATATGTATAAGTATATGTGTATATTGTATATGTGAATGTGTATAGTGTATATCATATACATGTGTATGTGTATAGTGTATATCATATAATGATGTTTACTTACCAAATCTTTATCTTAAAGCAACATGTGGCAATATTTGTGTTAGACAACAAAATTTGTTTAGTGAAAAGTATTTATATTTTTGACAAGACTATCTATATTGTGTACTAGTAATTTTTGACAAAATGTTGCAATTTTAAATGACAATTTTCTCCAGTGTGTCTTGCTGCACTTGTTATAGTTTGTTGAAGTTTGTACATTGTTTATTTTGTTCTTGATAACAAAAATGCTTTATTATTTATTTTATTATTTATTATGTTGTGTCTCAAGTGTTTTCTTTTAATAATAACATTATTATATTAATATTGTTTGTAATAATTCATTCCATAGATAATAATTTAAAAAAATAACTTTGATCAACTTATCAAAATTGCTTTCGATGATTGTCAGGTAATGTATTATAAAAAAAAAAGTTTTTATCATTTATTTGCATTTTATTTTCTGAAATAGATTTAGTATTTTTTATTGCTCTATATTTTAACATTTCTCAAATTTAATTTTTCTTTTCGATTATCAAATATAACAAAATGATCAATTGTAATTACACTTAATGCCTATAATTCCTATTTTTTATATAATTTATTACTACATTTAGTATATATTTTATTTCTTTGAGAACGATAGATAAGTTTTATCATATTGTCAAATTTATTGATGAAAAAATAATTCAGTGGTTGTTTTTCATGTAAAATGGATATAAATCGATCAATATATTTTTCGATAAAAGATCTTACAATCGAGGTCATTTACAAATAGTTAAAAGCTAATCTTAAGTAAATACCGTGAAATAGGATTGATAATACAAATAATGATAAAATAATACAAATAATGATAATTATAATGATGATAAACTAAAAGTTATAAGAACAATAAGATAATTATATGATTATAAACCAATATCAATTTTAAAAAATCAATTAAATATAATGCACAGACAGGAAAGTTACAAACATTTGTGTACTGACAAAATGTAACAATCTACTATGTAACTAAAACAATTACTGCAAAAAAAAAAGTAACAATAATTTAATAAAAATAATAATCTTAATATCAATAATCATAATAAAAACGATAAAAGTAAAATAGTTACATCATTAAAAAATAATAAATAAACAAAACAAAAATTATTCAATTAAAAGTATAGAGTTTTCATAATAAATGACATTATTAAAAAAAAGTAAATTATATCAAGCAACACATATCGTCACTCCAAAATAATAAAATTTAAAAAATATTCTTTTTTCTTTTTTACAAAATGGAGCATATTTTATTTTAATTTCTTTTTAATTACTTTCCATTTTCTAATTTTTTTTTTTTAATTTTGGTTGTTTTTTTTTTCTTTCTTTTTTCTTTTCTTGTTTCTTTTGTTAATTTGTTTGATTTGTTTTTTAATTTTTTTTAGCTAGATAACAAATGGTATTTGTGGATGGTCCTTTAAGACTCACCACATTTACTATTAAAAAATGTAAAGATTATATGAATGATTAGATTGATTATGATAAAAAAATTTTGTATAACTCTAATTAGTTAATTTATGTATATTTTTACAAATATATATATTTTTATAGTATATAATTTTTTTGTTTGTTTTTTATTTTGAACAATTTTATTTTTGAACATTTTTTTAATATTTTGATTTTTTTTAGTTACATATGACTAAACAAGAGAAAAATTACCAATGGCAAAAGTTTATTCAGACTTTTTTTCAATCAATGACAGTAAAACCCTGATAAATTTAGAAGTAAACAGATTTCAGAAAAGTCTTTGTCCTACTAGGTGATGATCATGATGATTGTGATGATGATATGATTACGTGATAACAATGAGCATTTGTAATTTAGATGGTGATTGTCATATCATGATGTTGGTTCACTTTCAGTATTTTATAGAAATGTATATTATCACAAATTTGTATATTTAAGTTCAGAAACTGACACTCCACAGTTACTGAAAAAAAAGTAAGTCGTAAATAATAAAAAAAGACACTTGCTCCAGCCCGTGCTATTCCTCCTTTAACATTTTTATTTATTGAAAATTTGACTTCTTCAGATCAATTAAAATTAAATAACTTTTTATAATTAGGCTCTGCTTCTGAAGTTTTAGAAAAGGATGTATTTTTATACTTTTTTCATTTGAATATTCTTTTTTATTTTTGTAACTGAATTCCAATATGTTCTCAAACAATCTTTTAGTTAGTTTATGTAAATAGGACATAAATATATATCCAAATTTATCAAGTTATATTGATGGACATACTTTTTTCGAAAGCAATGAGTTAGACAACTGATGGGATGGAGACCCACTTATGTGGTATTGTATTTTATTGACTAAAAAGTTTTTTTTTTTAAGGAAGAATATATTTAAAAGAGTGCTTTGCAAGGTGACAATTTCTTAATTTATTTTTAGCGCTTTAATTCTAAAAAATGTGCTTTGATTAAAGAAAAATGAAAATATTTTGTTGTTGCCTATTGAGATGGTATCAACTGAGTTGCGTGTTGATCAGTTGCTAGATGAATTAAAGCTCTCATAGCTCCCTAAATCAGTATTGTATCATCAGTTGCATCTAATGCTAAAATTGAAGCACATAGTAACTTTGTGTTATTTAGATGCTGTGAAAATAAAAGCTTAAAAATAAAACCACAGGAGCACCAGGAGAAGAGTTTAAACATTAACTGAAGAGATATTTTTTGCTTTTTGGAAATCGAAATGGCGGACGAAAAGCTCGAGAGGAACGTTCTTTGTATAAAAAGATATTTGCATAAATAACAATTTGAGCTTTTAATAACATTTTTTTATTTTATTATTTTTTAACTCATTTTTGGCCGGGAATAAATTTCGAAAATACTTATTTTTTTCGATATAAGTTGTAATAAACTTCGAAAAGTACAAATTTGTTTGATTTATGCAGGATAATGCATTTGTACAGAAACAGCAAATAATAACGTCCTATGTATTATTAAAGAGTAACGCTTTAGTAATGACACGCGAACACAAACAAATGTTGGAAAATGATCACGGATCAGTACTGGTAATAGATAATGGGTCAGTGCTGGTAAGTGATCGCGGGCCAGTGCTGGCAAATGATCCCAAGTCAGTGCTGGCAAACGATCGCAGGTCAGTGCTGGCGAACGATTGCGGGCCAGTGCTGGCCCAATGGCCGTTTCGATGCAGGCCCGTGATCGACAGCTGTCATCGCGCCGGAGTCGCAGGCGGAACTGGGCCAGCATTGGGCCGCTAGCGGGAGGCTGTCTGGGTAGTATAACTTATTTGGCAATACAAACAAAATATTTAATATACTTAAAATTTATATAACATGCATTACATAAAAATGGAACTGGAATCGACACTAAATTTTATAAAGACAAAATAAAAACTTAATAGGAATTAAGCAAAAAATTAAATACAAAATATAATGAAAATATAAAATAAAAATACTAATAAAAAAAAAGAGTCGTAAGTAAACGGTTATTTTGTTGTTAATTATTGTTAACTTTTTGCTTATAATTAAATATTTATTTTATACTAGTTAAAACTTAATCTAAACATATATTACATATATAATTGTAATTATATAACAAATACAATTTAATACTAAAAAATTTAATACTAAGTCAATTTCTAATATCTTAATATCGAATACTCAGAAAATTTCATTTATATTTAAAAAAACACTATTTTTTTTTTACACCCATATTTAACATTTTCAGCTAATAATTGGATGTTTAATAAATTTGGTTATAAATAAAAAATTAATATTTGTGCGAAATTTGTTTACAACAGCCTACTTTAAAACTACCTTCGCGGACTTTTTTTATAAATTATAAATTTTGTTAAAAGAGAATTAAAATTAAAATGTTTGCTTTTATTAAAAAAAAAAAAAATCTATTGTCAAAGAAAAATAGTTCACATAAAAGATTTTACTATAATGTAGTTATTTACAATTCGTTTTATTGTTATATATTTTCAATGAAATTAAAATCCTGAAAATTTCGAGATTATTTGTTTTTGTTTTTCTACAAGTATTGGTACAAATCATTTTTTGCATATAATAAAATAAAATATTGTTATATAATTACAAACATTATTAGATATAACACGCATGTCAATTTCTTCTAATGGATTACCTAAATCTTTTAGAAAGAATCCGATCATCGAAGGTAAGGAGAATAAACAAGACATCTACAGATAAAGAATTTTCGGTATATGATAATTTAAGTATTAGAGGGAATTTTCAGGATAAAATGAAAACAATAAGAACAAAATTACATTCCAGTGTAACTTCGGCACATGGCTGCTTGATGATTTTTAAACCCAAAACGAAACTAGGCAAACTAATGTGGTTTTTTGTAATACTGTGTTGCTTTTTTTTTTGTATTGTTAACTTAGTCAATATTACCAGGGATTATTCAAGTGAAAACCCTGAAGTTAAAATATTAGAATTATACGAAAAATCTCCTACGTTCCCAGTTGTTGTTATTTGTAACGAAAACGCTTTAAATTCGAGTATTAAAGAACACATTATAAGTCTTACTGGTAAAAAGCTTAATCAGTTTGATAGCAACCTAAAAAAATACATAACACATAAAAACTTTAATTCTCGATTATTTAATGAGTTCGGAAATCGCTTAAACTCAACTCTTGTCTCATGTACGATTGGCGTTGACGATTGCTCTACCTTTTTATCTTGGTACCAAATATGGCATTTGGAATATGGCTTGTGTTTTGCATTTAATAGTGGTTTTAACATTGAAGGAAATGAAGTTACGACACGTCGCGTTTTCCTTCCTGGTTACTCGCATGGACTTAACTTGAATTTAAAGCTCGAAAAAAACGAATACAACGATAAGTCAAAAACAACAGCTTTAAGAGTTTTTATAACTCATCAAGGGGAATATTTGTTTCCACCAAATGAAGATCTTTTATTAACGTCGGGATTTTACTATTCAATATCGTTTCAGAAACGATTGATGAATAGAGAATATGGTTCAAATAAAATGTGCCGAAAAGATAAAATAATAAAACTTTCTAATTTTTCGCTTAGCCAACCCTTGATAACAAAGTATACTCAAAACTTCTGTAATTTAAATTGCCTTTCTGAAGAAATAGCTCGGGAATGTATGTGTGTCGAATATGATCGACCAGTTTTAGAACAACAAGCCAAAATACCCAAGTGTAATGATGACGCATCTACTCAATTGTGCATCAAGCAACAATACTCGTATTGGAAGTCTGGTAGTTCTGAATGCCTACAGAAATGTAAATTAGAATGTTTTGAAGTAAAATATAAGCCACGCATCCACCTACAAAAATATTGTTCAAATGATTTGTGTGAAGGTGACTTAAAATTGTCAGTCAATTTTCGCAGTTTTAACTACTTGTTTTATCAAGTTCACATTAATCACGTTTTTGCGGAGTTTTTAGGTCAAGCTGGTGGAATAATTACTTTTTTAACGGGGTTTTCAATTATTAGCTTTATTGAAGCATCCTTTATTACTATACAGTTAGTTATAACAATTTTATATATGCGCTGTAAAAATTTTAAAAAATCATGTGATAAAACTATAACTTCACGTAAATCTTTTGTTACTTGTCAAGCCTCGTTAGAAGTCTAAAAAACAAACTTTTTTTAAATTTAAATTTGTATTAATAAACTTTTTTTGTCAAATAATGTTTGTAATAAAAAATAGTTTCTAAAGAGGGAAGAAGGTGTTTATTAACAGACCCATAATAGTTTTCAAATGTACATTGTTTTATGAGTATGAAACAGTAACAGTGAAAAGATGCAATTCTAGGGAATGAAAATTCGCACGTAGTTGAGTTGTAATTAGTTAAATAAGAGGTAATACCTCACTTGACCAGCAACGATGGTAAGATTTGTAGAAAAAGAAAGAGATGAAATCATTACGACGAGAGGATAGGGACTCAGGCTTAGTAACTAAAGCACGTCCAACTATATTTAGAGATTTTGACCTTGTTTAAATATTGTTTAGATGCTTTATGACTAAAAACTTTAGATCATTATTATTAATAAAAATAAAAATACAGGATCTAAAATGGAATCTTATGTTACCCTCAAATTTATTTGAAAAAGAAAGGCTTATGGATTCAATAGTAAATCTAGATTAAAACGTCTCTTAAAGGTTTGTTTTTATATTAGGCCTTATAAACTCGGCGAGCGGCACGCAATAAGATTTGGAAGGAGTTAGTTAGAAAGCCCTGCGAAATCTTTGCATCTTTGCAGAAGCTTTGTGATCTTACTGTAACTGCTTGTCAATTGAATAAAGTAAAATCTCAGGTAAAATCAATTCAGTTGTTTGAATTTATCAGATTGACAACTTTTTGGTTAAAAGCTCTTAAAGCGATTAACTTTTTCAGTGTCTAACTTTAATCTCCTTAAATGATGAGATAAAGTTAATAAAGACTTTTATTAAGAATTTAAACCAAAATGAGATTTTCCTTAATGAATGAAGATTGCAGAACTCATAATTTCTAACTTCATTGATGAAGCACAATTGTAGCCACCATTATAGCATGTTAAGATTTTCCATCAGATTTTGTACAAAATATAAGAAGTGAAAAATCCGAGAAAGTGGAAAACCTTTCACAAAAAAGCCAGGAACAAAGCTTCTTTTCACAAAAGCGAAGAAAAATAGTTTGATCTGCACGTACTTAACACCACTCTCAATTCTTTTATTCATCTGTCAAGAGACAATTTTAAGCTGCAGAAAAGAAAAAATAAATTTTCTTACTTTTATAATTCTCAAAATTTCAAAATTTGCCGAGTAAAGAGCATTCGCTATTTTTTTTAGTCAAAATTAATTTCTCAATTTTATGAAGCTATTGAATGTAAACTACCAGAAAGGATAGTCCCTTTTTGAATCAGTATGTTTTTTGTTACGCATTTTAATTACAGCTCTTGCTTCAATTGTGAAGGTTTCCAAAGATGAGAAAAACATGTTTTTTATTCGTGTTTAGTATAATTATTGCAGTGGCAAGTCAAAATGGTGCGTTTGCTACGAAAAAGAAAATTTTTGAAAAGAAGTAGAAAAGTATTAAGCTTTGTAATCAAAATGGACAAACTCTCTTAAAGGTTTTAGATAACTTAACATTGTAACTCATTAAGTTCTCAATTAGAAAGTATGAGTATTAGACAAAAACAGGAGAAACGGTTCTAACTTATTTTTAAAAAATACTAAAAACTGCACAAAGTAATTTTGCATTTGCTTGTGCCAAAAATGCAAGATTGCTAAAAAAGTTAAATTTAAAAAAATTAATTTAAAAATTAGTTTGTTAAAAAAGTTAAAGTTTGATATAAACCAAAACAGTTGCCAAATTTGCAAATGTTTTGTGCTGATAAGGATTTTGTTGTTGTTGATTCTTATTAAAACTATAACAATATTTTTTCTTCTGAACTGAAAAGTGAATTAAAGTCAACTTAATGATTCAGAATTGAATACCCTTATGCCCAGCAAAATTGACAACTTCACAATAACATTTTATAAACATTGTGCCCTTATGCCAAGCAAAAAGGAGATTTACCTCTCGGCCAAAACCAACATTAAAATTGAGATATTTCTGAATTTGAAGACTATTAAAAACCTCTTGTATATAAAAAGTCAAATTTACTCAAAGTTAAACAAAGAATATATTGGTTAAAAATTAAAATTTTTAATTTATATTAGTTATAAATTAAAAATTTTAATTATACGTTATAACTTTTTAACTTTATTTAAGTAATAAGAGCTATATAGGTTTTGAAATTTATAAATAAGATATAGTTATAAAATTAATGAAATTTATAAATAATATATAGTTATAAAAGGCCTGGTCTTATTTTTTATATTTTTTATAACTATTTCAATATGTTTATACTATACTACTTATACTATACATTTATTTTATAAAACTATATGCAAAATTATAAACTTATATAAAACTTTTTCATATAGTGGGGATATAGAAAATATTTTTGTACACTATACTTGTTTATGTTTCGATAATTAAAAAAAAATAAATGATTAAGTTTTTTGCAGTGGAAATGTTATAGTAACAATTTCTATCAAATATTTTTTAAATTTAATCTCATTAGCAGAAAATAAAAGTTTACATTAAGATTAAGGCAAAGTGCCCTAATAATGGACGGGTCTTATTAAGAGCCGAATTTGGGTACAATATTATTGCATTTACTTATTTAGCGGAGCATTTATATGGTTGATGCATAGTTTTGTGTTTTTTTTAATATCTCAATGTTTTGTTCTAACGTTTATAAATGTTTCATTCAGTCTTGATTTTTAAGAAATCTTTTTTTGTCAATTTAAGTAAATATTTTATACCGTCAGTAATTTTATTTGGTATTTTCAAGCAACTTTGAGACGCATTTAAAGCAATATTTTTTCAGTTACAGGTTTTTGGTGTATTTTGAACTGTTCTGTTACTTTAATATTATTATACAAACTGTTTTGTTGATCAATATACGATAGACAGAAGCATAAATATAACCTAAACTCTCAGACTTCAAATAGCTCCTAATAATAGCCACTCGTTTGACCAAACAAGAGCCACAGCCACTATTTGTAATCGATGTGGCTATTATTAGAACAATAGTTTAATTTAAATATATATATATATATATATATATATATATATATATATATATATATATATATATATATATATATATATATATATATAAAATATGTATGTATATTATATTTAATACACATTAAATTAAACTATTGTACTAATATTACCTATAATAATTATTTACTTTACTGTGTATAATTACAAAGTATAATTAGTTTTTACTTTACAGTGTTTATTATAAGAGTTTATTGTGTTTATAATGTTTGTAATTATGTAATTTTATATTATAAAATGTTTACAAATATTTAAAATAATGATTTAGATATTTATTATATAACTTATATCCAAAAAACAAATTATTATTTTTAATATTTACTAGCTACATGATAATTTTAAAAATTTTCCAAATATACTACCCCTTCCTGAAATTAAAATGTGTAGCAAGATTGTGTGGGTTTCTTTTCTTATATTCTTTCTTCCTCTACTCCATATTAGCACTGCATACATTGATTGGATAGCGTAAAAATAAAATAAAATATCGTCTGTAACAGTTATTGAAGATGAATATGAACTCAACACAAAATTAGACTTGGTTTTACAACGAAATGGTAAATTAAGCTTCTATTTTCATAGATATATTCAGAATTATAGACTTTTATATTATAAAATAATCAGAATGTATTAATTAATTATTATTAAAAATATTATATTCGATTTACTTTCAATCTTAATATATCGTTACCGCTTTCATGTTAAGAGTATTCTTTTGAAGATTTTTTTTTTTTTTTTTCACTGCTGGGCATTAAAGGGCTGTTTTTAAAGTAATATAGCGATATAGTTATAAAAGACATGGCTTTATTTTTTATATTTTTTATATCTTCTACTTCTAGTTATTATTTAAGTTCTGTTTGGCGTCCTTTATGGACAAACCCTTACACCATCATGTAATAAATTGTTTCATCAAAAGAAACGTTTTAAAAATAAAAAAATAAAAACGGTTTTGAAAATAGTAAACACAAGCTCGTAAATTTCATCTTTCACATTTATTGCGAGTTCAATTTTATAATTAATATTAACTTTCTTTATACATAAATCGCATAGCGAAATAAAGTTACAATTACTCAGCAAAAGTCTCAGCAAAAACAAAAACAACCAATTACACACTATCGTGGCAACGAAGAATACCAATAATTATTTTTTCATGCATAGTCATAAAATGTTATTATGACTATGTTTCATTAAAACATTTAAATTTGCTATTATGTTTTAAATTCAAGCAAGCAGTGAGTTTTCTTGTTTTTTAAATTTCTACCAGTTTGTTGTGATAAAAAAAAAAACATTCTTGTTGTTAGAGGTATTTAATTTACGTTTTAATATACGTATTTAATTTACGTTTTAAATATAATCAACCAGTAAAGTAAAGAAATCTATGTATGATAAACATATTTTATGCTTGTATAAGTATTTGTTTGTGACATCTGTTTATGTTATGATAATATATTTAGATTAGATGTATGTAAGGTAGGATAAGATGTAATGTAGTTAGTATACTCTATCTTTTAGTTAATTTGAGTAATTATAGAGAAAACAACATAAATTACAAAAAAAGAAAAGAAAATTAAAAAGAAACCTGCTTCTATTTTTAATTTGAAGTTGAACCAGAAAGTGAAAAAAGTAAAGAGATTTCAGTGGTCTAACAGCAACATGAAAAATGCAATTGCAGCTGTTCAAAATGACTTAATGTTGCAACGAGAAGTTGCGGTTCAGTTTAGTACTTCTTGGTCAACCCTTGGTAAATATCTTAAGGGAGATTCAGTTTTTGGCGTCAAACTTGGACCTAGTCTAATATTATCTACAAATTTAGAGTTAAAATTAGTTGAATATGCAACAATAAGAGCTGCGACATACAAATTTAGTTTTGCGAAAGCTACTTCATCAGTTCGCCATCAATGCATGCCTGTACCAAAAGTAGCTAAATATTTCTATTCACTACGTAATGAGGGACACACGTGCCCTTTAAAAAGCTTCATTGATTTAGAATATGGATGAGTCTGGGCTACAGATGGATTTTAAACCTTCAAAAATAATTGCAAAAAGAGGTACAAAACACCTTCAATCTTACACATCTGGAAAACG